TTTAATATTTTTTTTTAAGAAATGATTATTATGTGATACGAATAAATAATCAAATGAGAAGAATCCAATTTATTTATTATACAAACATTCGGAGGCAAAATTTATGGCCTGAATTGTTTCATTTGCCGCGTCCAAACATATTTCAAGCTGTTCTTTTCCGCTTTTTAATTCATTTACAAACTCCATGATTGCATTATTTTCAATCTCAATTTCTTTAATAACTTGTAAAATCTTTTTGTGAACTCTTTGATGTTCTTCAACTTTTATATAAAAGGACGAAGATAATTGTTATCTTGTCATATAATGAAAATGAATTAATTCATATATATACTCCAAAAATGATAAAACCATTACTCCACCTTACTTTGATCGAGACCTTGTTGCATTTTTTTGTCCAATTCTACAATATCTTTCATTATGTCAACAGGTGGTCGCTCTGTTGGTTTTCCTTCAACATTTGCAGCGATGGAAGCAAATATACGGTCTATCAAAGATTGATATTCGGTAAGGAGAGAAACGTTCATTGCAATCAATGACTTGGAGGTTTTGTCTGGTGTGCTTATTGGATTCATTTTGGAGAGTTCTTATCTTAGACCGAGGTTAGTGATCTAAATCGGTGAAGCGCATGTTTTTACTTTAATGTATAATCACATGATTTAGTTTTATTAATTTAATTGGTTAAGTTTACTAACATAAGTGCTGATTTCACCCGAACGTGATATACGTAACGGATTTTACCCTGTTCTATCGCAAATTGTCTAATAATATAAAGCATGAGAGAACAATATTTCACGCTTAAAAACTATTTTTTATTAAACTTTTTAAGAATATATAAGTTAATAATATACTTTTAGCCTACCCATTATTAAAGATGGAATTTATCCGCATCTTCTGTTCATTCTCAGCAAGCCCCGCCAACTTAGTTAAAATAATTTTGTAGAAACTAAAATCCAAAACAAAATATTTTTGTATTTTTAATAATTTTTTGCATTATTTCAAAAGCTGATAAATAAAGCATTAATTTAGATCTTTCGCTACGTATTACACCATTTTCTATATTATAATTAGATACTTAATTACTAATATAATGATAAATCGCTTTTTGTTCGCTTGTAATTAATAATCTTATCTGAAAGGAATTATTGTCCTTTATATTTTTAGAAACATCAGGGCAAATATTGCAAGATGAGCTTCCATTTCCATAGCTTCAATATTTTGAACAATAATGACAAGTTGCGCTACGATCACTAGTAACATTACTTGCTATATCACAAACTTTTTCTTTAGGACGACCTGTACTTTTTCATTTGTGTTCTATTTTGTTTTTCTGAATATGTTTCAGTTTGAGATGGCTTAAGTTTGAATAGTTTGATTCTTAAAAGTTTAAAAGAGATTTCAATATGGGCTGCCGTCAATAGAAATAAGGCAAATTAACATTTTAAAAAAATTTAAAGCATTAACTTTCACAGCTCATATCTCGATGAAGTTTAAAGCTATCTTAATAAATTTATATTCAAAATAAAGCTTAAGATCTAAGCTTTCATTTGAATAGAAATTTATCAAGATAGCTTTAAATTTCATCGAGATATGAGCTGTGAAAGTTAAGGCTTTAAGGGTAGGGTGTATGTAGATCATTTATCATATGATTTTAGTAGCACAATGAGATTTATATAGAAAATGAAAATGTGTTACTAATAGAACTTTTTATAGTTGTAATTAATTTTGACTAAAATTTTATAATATATAAAACAAATTGCATTTTTTATAATAGTAAAATTTTAGTTGATAAAATATTTAAAAAAATTATACTTCTATATGTTGTAAAATTTCACCCAGTTGGCTCAAATTTCCCCCAGTTACACAAAACGATTAATTTTGATTGGTTAATATCATATGATCATCATATGATTTTTATAAACAACTTTTGATGTCTAAAATTTAAATATTTATATCTTGCCGAATATTGAACCAATTTTAATAATTTTACTCTCATTAGAATCAGAAAAACCTGCTCTATAATTTTTACTTAATAACCTAAAAGGATTAGCTTAATAAAATTTTATAAAATTTTAAAAAGAAAAAATAAATACCATGAATTTATATATAAGTACACCCTACCCTTAAATTTTTTTAAAATGTCAATTTGCCTTATTTCTATTGACGGCAGCCCATATAATAAAGATAATTTACTGTATCATGGATAGTTTTAATAGATTATGTGATAAATCTGATCAATTTTTGGTAATTATTAAACAAAATATATACTTTTGTAAATTATTTTAGCGTTTAAATTTAATTAAGTTGGCAACGCTACCCAGGAGATATTAAAATAATTATAAAATTAAGCATTAAGACTAAAAACTTCAATAAGCACAAACTAAACTCAATCAGCCAAAGTTAACTAAAATAAATTATATGCGGGTATCCTCATTGAATCAAATTTAATTGAGTCCCTTCGATTATTACTTACAGTAATTGCGTGATAGCGGAATGTTAAACACTTTCTGCGTTTCAATTCAAGTACTCGTTGCGAAACACTGAATGCGATAATCTAGTCTTAAGTATCTGAAATTAAAATACAGTACTAACTGAATAACTGAATACAATTATTGTCACAACTGATGCTGAAATTTGGAGTCTCAATTTGAAAATATAAACCCTGCTAAAATTACTCTTTATCAATTCTAACCCTAAAAAAAAAGACTGACAAAAATGCCCACATTCGAATGCCAGAATTTCAATATAAATAAATTGGATTCTTCTCATTTGATTATTTATTCGTATCACATAATAATCATTTCTTAAAAAAAAATATTAAA